ACTGTCGTCCATCTCCAGCGCGTCAGTGTAGAGGCAGGCAAGGAGGAACACGAGCCTCCCTGCGTGCCGATGGCTGGGAGCCTACCCAGAGCGCCGTCGGCCGGGTTGGGCCCCTCACCGTCCTCACGTTCGGCATCCCCTGCCCTGGCCGCCGGCGTCCTTTATCCCCGCCTTGCCTCTAGCCGCGTCGGGGGGACCCAAGTCCGGGCCTTCCGGGTCTGTGGGCTCCCCTCCCCAAGACCGTTGGAGGCCATAGCGGCGCTGGCGGCCACCCCCAGTTGTTTCTCCGATCCCTCTCACTAGCCGGCCCAGTACTACCGGCTGCTCCGCGGGAGAGGAGGAGAGGGGGCTCCAAGCTCCATTGGTGGGCGGATGACACCAGCCTTGAGGAGTCCAACGATGGCCGCTCCACAACAACACACCCCCCTACCTGGACACCGCTCGTTGCCCGCCGAAGCCGTCCATGGCGTCTCCCGCTCAATCGTGGTTTCGGGGTGCGAACGCCTCCCAGTTGCTATGGGCGGAGCTGTAGGTTGAAATTGTGGCGACTCGAAGGGCTAGGTCATGGCTCAAGCTCATCGCCATGGTGTTCGACGTGCTTGGCCTTTGTCTGCGGCAACCACTAGTGTCACCGATGCATACGATTGCTGATCACTACCCCCTCTGTCCCTATTCCGTCCTAGCAACTTCAGGACATATTTGCAAGCAAGAGAAAAGATTATGCTGCCCCTCATCGAGCTATTGAACCTTAATAGCTTTTCATCTACCGGGACTCTTAAGTAAATCGTGTTCAGTTGGAGTATTAAATGTTGATGTCACTGTACAGAGCTCTCCACTGGTCTAGCACCCAAACCGGCTTGGGAATTGGAGAAATTTGGGGGGCAACGGATGTGAAAGAGGGAGATGGGAGGGGCTGTGATTAAATGTGACCAAGACTTCGAGCAGAGATAAAGTGGATTGGTAGACCATCAGCTTTAGAAATTGATTCTTTTGAAGATAAATTTTTTCTCTAGAAATTGATTCTTTCAGGAAGAGAGGTATAGAAGGGGAAGGGGAAGGGAAGGGAGGAGGGGGGGGGGGGGAGTAGACAATCGTCATGCCATCGCATGAAACCAAGGACCTCGTCGTCGTTGCCTCGCATCACCGCGCCATCGTGGTCTCTGGGTGACAACATATCTGGCTTGTTCGACTTTTTTTTTTAACGGAACAGTGTTTTTCTCTCACAACATTTCAGCCAGAACAGTATTTTTCAGCCACTTTCAGCCAAATTTCAGCAAACCGAACGGGCCCTATAGCCTTGGCGCGTGGCCATTTCAGGTGGACCTGGCACTGCCCTCCCGCCCTGTGGACCCGACGAGTGCTGCCACAAGCACGGTAAATTTTATTTATATAGTATGTCCACTAAAGGAAATCGTCTCTGTTTCTATACATGCATCGGTCGTTTACCAAAACTGTGCATGCATGCAATCAATGCAATTGCCTTTTTTTATTTCCCAATACCGTATAATCCAACAAGTGCTCGTCCGTCGAGTATATATATAGACATGGATGCAGGCCGGAGGGGAAGAGGACGACACACTTACAGCATATCCTGGCAAGGGATAGGGCAGCAGAAGCGGCCGGCGAAGTGGAGCTGGATGGCGGAGGGCACGGTTCTGTCTCTGGGCGTCCTGTGCGTGGCGTGTGGCGTCTTGTTCATCGCAGTGGTGCTGCTGCACATCGTTCCTTGGAGCACGGACGACGACGGCGGCGACCCTGCTTCTTCTACTACTAGAAAGCAGTTCCTTTTCGGTGGGGGATTGTTGGCCGCGTTCGGCGGCTTCATGGTTCTCAGATTCGGTGCAGGGATCTTCGGCTACTGCTTGTAGTATAGTACTAGTAGACAATTGTGATATATATATCGCTTATAAGAAACAGGGCATATCTAGGTAGCGACAATTGTTACTTGTGGAGTTGTGGTTCTGAATGTTTGCTTGTCACCCTAGTTATTTTTAATGAAACATGCATGCTAGCTAGTATATGAAACATGAAACATGCAGAGTGCGAGAAGCAGAGGACGACGGATGCCACATGTTCCGGCTTCTTGTTGTTGCATTGCAGGAGGGTTTTTTTTTTTAGAAACACCACCCTCTTTATTGATTGAGTTGGTCATACGAAATACAAACGCTATCGGGCGGATCAAGCAGCAAGACATGTCTGCCTGTTACAAAAGAGATCATGCTCCTAGCTAGATTATGAGCATCAATGTTTGAACTCCTACTCTCATGAGCAAAATCAACATAAATAAAATCACGAGCCCTGGCTCTAACCTCCTTCACAACTTGGCCATATGGACCCATGCCTTCTTCTCCGATACTCCTAATAACATTAGCATTGTCTGAAGCTAACCGGAAGGACTGCAAATATAGATCAGAGGCCAGCGCTAATCCTTCCCTGCATGCAATCGCCTCAGCTGTTTTAGCATCAGTAATACCTTCCAGTACCACACCTGAAGCTCCCAAGAACTTTCCCGCCTGATCGTGAGCAACAGCTGCAACAGACGCTCTAAACATGTTCTTGGAGATCGCTGCATCAACATTGATTTTCATACAATGATACAACCCGCTGGAGGTGCGAGCCACTTAGGTCTCCTAGTCTGGACTGTCGTCTTTACCACCCGAGGCGGTTTAGACGCCAATAAATCAGCCACATAGTTGTTGACAAAACTATGTGTCGATAGGGGGCTCTGAAAAATATTCTCATGTATAGCATTTCTTCTTGCATACCAAATAACCCACATCGTCACCACGACACGAACAAGATCACCATGAGACACTGATTTTTATCAATGCCGCAACCCATGCCCTGGCGTCTTCCTCCTGCATCTCACTCAGATGTTCAACAATTTCTTCACTCTCTAGCGCCCACACACACCTTGCCATATTGCACTAAAGCAAAGAGTGCCGCCAAGAGTCCAGAGCACCGCACAATGCACAAGTGTTGTGGTCTGCCATGTTCCGGCGCTGAAGCACGTCCGCTGATGGCAATGAGTGTCGTGCCAGACGCCAGAGAAAAACTCTTATCTTTGAAGGAACCTGGATTTGCCACAAAGAAGACCACTCCTTTTCTTGCTCTCTACTGTTTGATCTTCCGGCGTTCTCCATCAACACACGTCTTGTGATTAACATTCTGTACGCTGAACGTACCATGAATATCCCCTTTCTGTCATAATGCCAAGCCCAAAAATCGGGTTGTCGTCGATTACACAAAGGTATAGCCATTATAGCCTCCCTGTCAGCTTGCGTAAAAAACTCATGAAGCTTTGTTGTATCCCAGGTTGCCGACGTGTGGTCGATCAACTCTCTAACAAGCTGTGGAGGATGCGGTGCTGAGCTAGGAACTGGCCGACGCATGCTGTCTGTTGGCAGCCAGTCCATGCTCCAGATAGATGTAGTTTCACCAGACCCAATCCGCCTGATCAAACCCTGTTGAAGGACCTCTCTCCCATCTAATAGCGAGCGCCATATCCTAGAGGGGGCCGAGCCCAGTGCGGCCGCCAAGATGTTGCCCTGCGGATAGTAGACTGCCTTCAAGATACGAGCACTTAGAGACGCCAGATCCTGCAGGATACGCCATGCCTGTTTCGCCAGCAATGCAAGATTAAAGAGCTCGATATCTCGAAAGCCCATCCAGCCCAAATACTTTGGCATAATCATATCATCACATGCAACCCAGCATGTCTTTCTCTTGCCCTCTTTGCTGCCCCACCAAAACTTCCTCAAAAGGCCATTGATATGCTTACATAAACCTCTCGGTAGCTTGAAGCACGACATAGAGTAGGTGGGTATTGCTTGTTGCATTGCAGGAGGTGGCAAGGCATTGCATGTGGATGCGTTCGCGGGCCTGTAGGAATTGGGCTTGCTTGCGGGGCCGTAGCATAGGGCCCACAAATAGTTCCTAGGACTGATGGAGTTCAATCTGCTTTTTAAATAACAGCAGATTGATGGAGAGTTCATGGGATGCCGATGCCATCCACGTCCTCGTCGTTTGTGTACTATCTATATTAAATATGTAATAATGACCATCATGACATGCGCATGGACTCTCGAGACTCGAGAAACAACAAGCTTCTTCAAACTGCTAACATCCTGCAAACAAACTGCTACACGCCCTCCCTTCTCGGTTAATGTTGTTCACGATTTACGATTTAGAGCACGAGGCTGCCGGCTGCGTCAACGACGGTCTCCACGACAGACGACCACGGCATCTCTCCGCCGTTGCCGTTGCTCGCGGAGCAGTTGGCGTGGACCTGTCCCTATGACACCTTGTGAGCATGCACGTTGATCTGCCCCATCTTGACGTACGAGTAGACGAACGGCTCGAAGAAGGCTTATCTGGTCGACGGCGAACTTTGTCACCAGAGGCCAGGTGGTGGCATTGGTGAGCAGGTCCTGGTCCGACGTGAAGAGCCCCTCCTGGTTCAGCAGGTCCACGTAGTGGCCTCGTTTGGCTTGCTGAAACTTGGCTGAAAAACACTGTTCTGGCAGAATTGTTGTGAGAGAAAAACATTGTTCCGACTGAAAAAACAAACCGAACAAGCCGGTTTCTGGGTAAGCCGAACGGGGCAGTACTTGATGTTGGGATATATTTTTAATTAATATTTTTTAATGAATAATTGCAAATCTAGTAGCTATTGTACAGAAATTGCAGATGTAGCACCCTATCGGCCACTGGAATACCGATAGGTACCATGTCGGACACTTGTTAGCCGACAGGTCACATGTTGGCACCTTATCAGCCGTTCGTCCTGATAGCAGACCTATCGGCCTCCGGGAGTCCGACATAGATTTGGCATTGTACATCGGTGTGGTGAGGTACGCACTACGTGTACAATATGGATCTGGAGAACAGCGGCGGCGCGGCGAATAACCAGCAGGTGCAGCCAGAGGAAGAAGAAGAAGCGGGCGGCGACCAGCTGGCGACCCCGAGATCCGGCGGCGGACTACCTGACGTCCGGCGAGATGGCTGTGCTGTGCGTCCTGGCCGTGGTGCTCTCGTCCATGGGCGCGCTGCTCCTCGGTTTGGCCTTCACGACCATCCCCTGGACGATCGAACCCGGCTTGATCGTGTTCCAGTCCGACAGCGACCGGACGGCGTACGTGGCCGAGTTGGCGAGCGGCGGCGTCGCCCTCGGCCTCGGTTGCGGCTGCGCAGCCATCCTCGCGCTCCGATGCTGCTGCGGCTCACATTCATTGCTCGCCTGAGAATTCGCCGGGCACGCACAGTTTACTATTAGTTCGATCTGCTGGTGCCCGGCCTGCCTGCCCTGCAGGGCAACCAGCCAATGCCATCGACGTCGTCGTCGTTTGTATAATGATCATCATGACTTCATCTGATCCCATGAACACAAGCTTTTATTTCCAAATCACTAGCTGCTTATTTGTTACAACATGCGCATGTCCTCGATGGAGACTTAAGAAAAAACAAGCTTCAGACTGCTAACTTCCTGCAAACAAACTGCTCTACACATACGTACTCCCGTTTGTTGTTCACGATCGATACGATCTAGAGCACGAGGCTACCGGCGGCGTCGACGACGGTCTCGACGACGGACCACGGCAGCTCATCTCCACCAGCGCCGGCGTTGCGCACGGAGCAGTTGGCGCGGACCTGTCCCTGGGACCCCGTGAGCACGTTGATCTGCCCCATCTTGACGTACGAGTATACAAACTGCTCGAAGAAGGCGTTCTGGTCGACGGCGAACTTTGTCACGATAGGCCTGGTGGTGGCGTTGGTGAACAGGTCCTGGTCCGACGTGAACAGCCCCTCCTGGTTGAGCAGGTCCACGTAGTACTTGTTGTCGAAGGTGTTGGGCGTCCGGACGTCGTTCACCGTGGTGTTCACCGTCGTGTTGGTCGGGCACGTCCCGTACAGCTGCCCCGCGAAGAACTTGTTCAGCGTCGGGTCCTGCGTCGGGAAGAGGCGGTTGTCGAAGGAGTTGCAGTGCGCGATGCCCACGGTGTGGCCGCCGGACAGCGCCACTAGGTCCGTCACGTCCAGGTTGATCTTCGCCAGGAAGGACAGCAGCGTTGGCACCTTGGACTTCGGCGATGGGAGCGCGCCAAGGACGGTCGCGTTCGACGCCGGCGCCAGCCCGTCTCGCCTGCCCAGTGGCACCTTGTACGCCGGACCGCCACCCTGCATGCACAGGCACAGCAGTTTTTGATATGCTGATGATGATCAAAAGTGGCTGCTGTTAGTTAACAACGAACTCTTACAATTGAACTTATTAGTTACGGATAATAAATAAAGTGATAACAGGAAGATGATGACGACGATGGTTGCTGCTAGCCGACCTTAGCAGCAGCCCCACGCTGAAATTTGACTGATGTTAATACTAATTTATTATAAAAAAAAATATTATTTTTTCGTTGAAAAGGTACCGCTAATAAGTTCCAGCGAACAGGCCGACCGCTGCCCACAGCCCTAGTACTTGCCGCTGCATTTTCAAAGGGACGAATCTAACGGAGACCATTCAACCTTTTGCGTTGACCTGTGTCACTGGCCGGCGCCGGCTCACAAATAATATACAGGTCTAGGTGCTCACTATAATTAGTATACGTATATCTCATTTCGCGCAACACAGGAGATGCAGACAGGCAGGTATTTTTGCCCTCGCAAAAAGTACAAACTAGAGGAAAAACATTTTATGGGCAGTCAAAACAAATTCTGTGGCTTTGTGAAAGGCTTAGTACAAGCTTTAGGTTTTTATGACACGGTATGACAAATACTTATCTAGTTCTGTAAAATTAAGTTGAACTAATAATATTATCTCCCCAGTTACAAATGACTGATTACTTCATAATAAATTTTAAAACTTTCATAAAAGTAGCTACCAATACTTTTCGTTTTGTTTGTTTGAAAGTATTAAAGTCACTCGAAAGATATTTTCTTTTGTCATTGTCTTGTCTTAATAAACTACATGGACATATTTTGATGGGAAAATAGTGGTTGGATGCATATGACCATCTCATGTCTAAACTCTGAAGACGAGAAATAACTCATGACAAACTATGGCCTGTACAGAACGGCTTTGGCTCCAGCAGCAATCTCCATAGAGATGCCATACCAAACACATTAGGACGAGAAGCTATTTTCTGGTAAACAGTATTTTAAACTGGAAAACTGGAGCCGCAAAACATATGGGTCCTTTATTGTCCTTTATTAAGTGCTTCGACTCTACTTTTGTACCTAAAAAGTAGTTTTTTTCCCACTACGGCTCCGTTTGGCAGGGTTTCACTTTACTAGTGAAGCCATTTTTTTTGCTTCAGCTCCACGAACAGTTCCACCGGTGGAGCTGAAGCGGTTTTGGTAAATCGTTTGGCAAAATAGTTTCCCTGTGAGAGCATGTTTTTAGGGGCCTAGAGGAGGAGCCGGGAGAAGCCATTTTTTTTGGCTCCATCCCACCCCAAATCATTGTGAGAGTATATTTTTAGGAACTTCACCAGTGATGCTATTTCACTTTACCCTGTTTGGCAGAAAACAACTCTAAACGGTTCCTGAAACTGGTGAAGAAGCCCTGCCAAACGAGGCCTACGTACATACTCTTGCCATGTTGATGTTGAAAAGTAGGGCCATGCATGTGAATTGAAGTTACATGTACCACACGGCATAACATGGGGTGTGCGTGTGTGTGTTTATAACAAGAAGGAAAAGTATAGAATAAAGTGAGTGTGGGGTGCATGCAACAACAGCAAGAGAGAGAACCGAGCAGAGCTCGGATGGCTAGCTCAGCCGGTGCGCAGGCAGCCGGCGGGAGTTCGATTCTCTGCAATAGCACTGGCGTTTCTCACCGGGGTTAGTCCCCAAATAAATTGTGTTATCTCTCGCGTGGAGCCACGAGGAGAATGCGACACGCCCCGTCGTCCATAGGTCTATGGTTGGACCCGATTATCTCACGAAGGACACGATCCAGTGATCTATAACCACAGGTCTATGGTTGGACCCGGTTATCTCACGAAGGACACGATCTAGTGATCTAAGTATAGTTGTAGGTTTGCTGGTGTACATGTGGTGTGAGTGTATAGAGTTGGTGTGTGTCTGTACATGAGCAGATACTACAGTTGTACCCAGACGAGAGGGGAAAAAATAGCAAGAGAGTATAACATATATGCATATGATTGGATGACTTTATTTACTGTGCGCAGATGAATATATAAAGCAAACAAAGCAATGGCGGCGTAGAGGTACCAGGGCAACGGATTCACGGGCGGCGAGCGCGACGATGTCGGCGCAGGAGACGACGCGGCCGCAGGCCTGCTCGAGGCGCGCGCGGATGTCGTTGACGGCCTTGAACGCGGCGGGGCGGAGCGTGAGGTTGGGCGGCGACAGCTGCTCGCTGGGCTGGGTGGGCGTGGAGTCCAGCAGGACGGAGGCGTCGCAGCCCTGCACGAAGCAGTCGTGGAAGTGGAGCCGGATCAGCGCCGCGGCGAGCCCTACGTTCTGCCGCACCGCTGACGACAGGAACTCCCGCACGATGGACTCCGCCTTCGGGCAGCTCTTCTTGTAGAAGTCGAACGACAGGCCCGGCGCCAGCGGCGGGTACCTGCCCTCGAGTGGCTCGACGTCGCCGGCCGCCGCCTGCAGGGCCACGACGGCTGCTGCTGCTACCAGTACCAGCAGAGCAGCAGCGCGCCGAAAACAAGTAGCCGCCATTGCTGCTCAGCTCGTTGCGCCTTGGCTAGCTGCTAGTAGTCAGAGGGAGGGAGGCGTGTGGAGGCCTTGCGCACTCGGCTGCCTCCATTTATAGCCATGGTTGCCGCCATGCGTCCTGCAAGTTGGGCGTGGGTTTAGGTGGGAGATGTACAGAGACGACGACGACGAGAGAGAGGGTTTGTGGCTGTTGGTGATGGTCAAACTCCAAGACGACGATGGATCGAGGAAACAGCTAGCTAGCATGTACGAGCTGTGGTTCTTCTTTCCTGTGACCACGTTTTCTTTTTCTTCTCTGTACGAACCAATGATCGATGTCGCGTGGCCCCCAGGGCTGTTTGGTCGAGCACACGTATAGTTGCCTGAACCAGATGAAGCGTCGCCAAATGCTTGGGGCCAGAACCATCTGTCTAGCTAGGCACTATCACCGCGTTCGGAGGGTACACTCGGGCACGGTAGCTCGGCTGGTTTTGATGATTGAATAATGTTCTGTAGCTGAAACAATCCAGGACTGAAACAGTTGAACGCGGTGCGGGGCACCATGCAAATACTCCCTCCATACCTATAAAGGAAGTCGTCCTGGCTCACACCACCGATTTCACAAAGTTTGTCGTCTTGGCCGCGCGGTCGTGGTTATGGACGCGTTTGCCCCTGCATTAATCACGGAGTCCGTCGTTCCGCGCATGTTTATCGTTCCGCGAGCGTGCACAGCGGCAGTAATCGTGGCCGCTTCGTTTCACTCGACGCCCGTTCGCACGCCTCCCTTAAACGCCGCGCGCCCGCGCCCCTTCATCTACCGCAGCCTCGCCGCGCGCCTTCATCTACAGCATCGTCTCGCCGCTCTCCGTCGAGGACTCCGTCGAGCCATGGACGACGTCGAGGCGCTGCTCTCCGTCAAGGACTCCGTCGATTCGCTGCTCTCCGTCGAGGATTCTGTCAAGGCGCTGCCGGCTTCCGTCTCCGTGCCGGACTCCATCGTGGAGGTGCAGCCTGCCGTCGAGGACTCCATCTACGTAGAGGTGTCGGCTTCCGGCGAGGCGCCGCAGGAGGTGCCGGTCTCCATCGTCGAGGTGCCGGACTCCGTCGAGGGCAGGCAGTGTGCTCGCTGCGGCACGTTGCACGCCGGTGGCGTCTTCTCAGAAGCTTGCTTCCATGCACGACGCAATGCTCGCAGGTGTGCACGTTGTGGACTCATGCACGAAGACTATGACCTATCAGCACAGATGTTGCATGACCAGGTGAAGTTTGAGTGTGAGATCTACATTCCTAACGTGCACAAACTTCAAATGGATGGTGAGACCATTATTTTGCCCGAGGAAGTTATCAAGAAGTTGGATGAGCACATTCACTCAGTGGCAAACAAAGATCATTAAGGTACAATGATTTAACCTAAGATACATGCATCTCCATGCTTGAATGTTCTAATCTGCATAAACTAACTTGATCATTCTAAGTTTCAGGGACAGTAGCAATGGCTTCAGCAAGCAATGAAAGTTCACATCCAATTTGTAGTGGCAGCCTATCTTCCCTCTCTAGTTTGTCCTTGTTCATGTGAGGTATCTTGAATTTGTTGCACCCTTTAACCTTCATGGCTTCCTTCAAAACACTTTGAAGTGTTACAAATATCCTGTTTGCTTTCCATGGGGAGTACTCCATGAATGCCTATGTAACATGTGTTGAAGAAAATCAATGAATGAGTACATTTTCATGTTAAATAAACATTGCAACATGTGAACAATTGATCTTTTTACTTGTTGGACGGCTGGAACTAGATCTTCTATTTTTTTGCATCTTTCTTGTATTGAATTGCTTGAATAGCCCAAAAAAAAACCCAAGTCCAAAATGTTAAAATCCGGAGAATTGGGTGGTTGACAAATGAGTCTTATGTCGTAGCCTTCTTGCTTAGCAGCCTCACAAAACTCAGGATCATCCAATTTTAAATGTGAAGGGGCATTATCTTGTTGAATGAATATCGGCTTGCTCACATCTTCTCTAGGCCATTTGGCTCTAATGACGGGCAGCACTTTGTTTAACATGAAATCCCTAATCACATCTCTTGTGATTGAAGTAATTGGCTTGATCACTAGTTCTCCACGAAGACGGTTTTGACTTCTTCTAACAGCCGGTTCATAAGTTACCAAGGGAAAACAACCTATTTTGCCATCAAAAACACACTCTCCATTCGTAAACGTTGGCCGAGCACAAACACACAAGAACATGAGCCTAGGGATGTAGTTCTTGTTCTTACAAGTGCGATGAGGGTCATCTTCCTCGGGTAGCAAATAATATTTCTTGGATTTTTGAGATAAGTAGAACCATTTTTCATCAATGAACACATAGTCAAAAAAATCCTTAAACCTTGGATCACCAACCAAACCTTGCTCGACCATATCAACACACCACTTCAACCTAGTCATCTTGTTTGTATCAGTGATGTACGGTTTGATGCTACTAGAGTGACGCCTAAGCAACCCTTTTTTTAAATACCTTTGAATCCTAGACTTGCTTATACCAAGTTTGCTAGACACATCTTCTACGGTCATTCTTTGTTTGAGTGGAATGCTACACAATTGTTCCAAGTCTAGAGGGATTGCCTTGTGACCACATCTACCCCTCTTTTGACCAGCAACCACAACCGGAATGTCATTGGCAAGTTGGTCTTTACCTCGCTTCCATAAGCACTGTACAGTTCGAATGTGGAGTCCAAAACGATCAGCAACAATGCTTGTATCTTTCTTGCCAAGTTTCCCATTTTTACTCCTAGCTAACAATGCTTGGTACACTTGTTTTGTTTGTTGTTCGGCCATGTCCTTCCTTTGGCCATGTCCTTCAATCGGTACCTCAACAGCATGTTCTAGTAAAACAAAAAAATGAATAACATTCATCTACTTAGCCGAGAGCATAACGAAAGGAAAAACAACCCGAGAGCATTACCAGCAACGTTTACAACGTAACCTAAGTCAACAGCGCCAAATTCATCCAATGGAAGGTTCAAATCAAATCCTAAAGATAAGGAAACAACAAAATGAGAAATTTGCATGTTACGAACATCATAAAAGGAAAATCCAAATTGAGTAACAATAGGCACAATACCAGCATTGCCGTCACCTTCTTCTATGCGGACGTTGAGATCAAAGGCAGCATTCCTTGGATCAGCCATTTCATTTGATAGATGGAAACAGAAGCTAAGAAGAACACCGGACAGTGGTAACGTGAAGCTAAGAAGAAAAGCAACGTTTCTTGCCTTTAAATAGATGGCGCAGACAGGCAGTCCAAACGTTTCACAGCGATGAAACCGGGTCATCGTGCGCGCCAGCAAAAAAAAAGCGCGCCACGCGAACGTTTCACAGCGAAGAACAAAAATTTGGAAATGAACTGCGCGCGCTTCAAAATTTTTTGGCAACAAACGCATGCAGCGCGCGCCATGCAGCAGCAGCACTCCACAGCGAGCAGCGCGCGAACCAACAGTGCCATGCAAAAAAGATTCGGCAGTAGCAGCCACAGGCAAAAAAGTTCGAGTCCGCGGGGTTTCGAACACAGCACCACCGGACTCGGCCACTCGAGACTAGCTGCGCTGCCAGTATAACTCAGGAACTTTCTCCTATGGAATGCAGCCACAGGCGTATTTATTAGGGACAAATAGGGAAAACTCTACCATAACTCTACCCTAATTAATCACTCCTTGGTAAACACAATCATGTCCTAAACGACTTTCTTTGTAGGTATGGAGGGAGTATACGCTTGGTGAGCTTTAGCTAACTAGCTACTGGCAGCCTCTTTTGTAAGAGAAAATTCCTTTATTGTCATTGAAAACTATAACAATCTCTTCGTTGCCATTTAAAATTACATGTTTCCTTCGTTGCCATTACTTTTAGATTTTATGTTCCCTCGTTGCCACTGCTGTTACAGAAGAGTGACGCCGTGACTTCGCTCCTATACCCGGTGTTTATTGATCTCGCTGCCGCCCTTCAGTGCCTGCCCTCTCACCGGTGTTTATTGATCTCTGCCTTCACGTGTGCATGGCCTGCTGCCTGCACGTGTGCTCACCACCGCCTGGCCGGAAGGCATGGAGCTGGGAGAGCTTTGCCGGCCGTACGTAGTTGGCCGAGCCGAACTGGTTGGGATAAGGCTAGCGGCGGTGAGCCCCTCGTGAAAAAATGAAGAGTAGTGCGATAAGGCTGGCGGCCTGCTGCGTCGTGCCGGTCCACCGCCCGTCCTTGTCACTCACATCAACCATCCACTCGAACGTACCCATTTCTTTCTTGCTTGCTCTGGTCTGGTGGCGTCGCGGAAACAAATACTCCAGCTACCTACTAGATTTCTTTCTCCGTTCATCCATCGTTGTTCCACCCACCTACAGCTGCAACCCTGCGATGGCAACCAGATGACGATAGTGGCACGGCCACGGCCACGCCGCCTCCTGCAGCCTAGATTCCTCTGCTCGCTTGGGCACGGCCTCTGCTCCCGCTGTCTCTTCCTCCTCTGCTTCCTGGTGGTCGCCTTTGCCTCCAGCTCCTCCGCCGAGCGCGTGGTCACCAGCTTGCCTAGCTTCGACGAGGACCTCCCTTTCCACCTCAAAACAGGGTGCGTGCCTGCGTGGCTACCTTCTGTGGACTACTAGTAGTATTCTTCTTCTTCCTCATCGTCCTGGTGTACTACTAGCTCACGGCACATTTAGGATTTAATTTGGCTGTCGTTGCTCTAAAACTGGAAACTAAATTTGGTGCGTGGTAAATCAAAGGTACGTGGAGGTGGACGAGGACGCCGGCGTGGAGCCCTTCTACTACTTCGTCTAGTCCGAGTCCGAGTCCGAGTCCGGCGCCGCCAGCGACGCCCCTTTCCTCTTCTGGCTCAGCGACGGCGACCGCTACTCCGTCTTCAGCGGCCTCGCCTACGAGATTGGTAAGATACGAGATTAGCACAGGTGGCGGCACGGCAGCAGCAGCAGTAGCAGTGCATCACCTTGGCCGCGCCCTCACCACGCACTGCGCACGTCCTCCCGT